TCACTACTCGCTACTCCCTACTCGCTACTCAGTACTCATTACCCACCCCCCACTACCCACTACTCACTACTCAACTATCACTGTGAACAACTCGCTACTCCCTACTGGCTACTTGCTAAACCAAACTCTCTATTCACTACTGATTACTCCCTTCTCATTACTCACTACTCACAATGCCCTACTCGCAACCTACTCGCTATTCACTACTCATTACCCACTCCCCACTACCAACTACTCACTACTCACTACTCCCTACTCGCTGCGCAGTAACTCCTTAGTCCCTACTCCCTACTCACTAACCACCCCGCGCTACTCGCTACTTATACTCACTACTCACTATTAACTACTCATTAAACACTAGTCTCTACTCGCTACTCACTACTCACTATCCCGTGGCCAGTCCCAGCCCCCCTTGCGGCAGAGGCACCCTGTTCGGCCACTTTTCGGCGCAAAGGCGGGGAGGGGGGGGTCGAACCCTCTTCCCCCCCTCTTCAGCGGGGAGGGGAAGGGGGGGGGGTCGGACCTCCCTCCCCTTGAGAAGGGGAGGGGGGAGTGGGGGGGGGTCGAAAATTTCCCCCCCCCTTGTGAAGAGGGGGATGGGAGGGCAGGGTTTTGCGACCCCCCCGCTCCTTTTCAATTACAAGGTCATCCACTGGCGCGCTTTCCTTACAACCGTCACCATCGCCATTCGGGATCCACCGTGGGTCTGTCACTAGACGGGGGGTCACGGGGCGAATAAGAAATCACAGATTCAGCTTATCTGTGCATCTGGGGTGTGGAAGCAGGGCGCGGCGCCAACGCGACGCCAACGGACGTCGTGGATTTGGGCCTGTGAATTGGACGCGCACCGCCATGCCAACGCCGTCGTCATCCTGCTTTTCCCGTTTGCCCTCCTCGCCCGCTTTTCCCCAATCACTTTTCCGCATACTCATCCCCCTCTGCCCCGGCACGACCCATGCGCCGCCGCGAGCGCCCACCAACGACGGGAACATGGCACCGACTGCCGCCACGCGCAAGCGCCGCCACACACGGCGCACAACCCTATTGCCGCCACGCGCGCTGTAGAAACCACGTGCCACCGCGTGCGCGCGCGCCCCCTCCTTCATCCCCTCCCACATCCCCCCCCTCCCCCCCTTCCCTCCTCCTCGATCTGCCCCCCCTCGCCTCCCCTCTATCCTCCCCCCGTTTATCTCTTTCTCCTCTTCCCCCTTGCCCCCGTCCGATCCGGGCGCCGCCGCGCGTGCATTCGCGGGGCGCCCTCGCGCGCGGCGACGCCCCGGTAGGGCGCCCGCGCCCCCCTGACGCAGCCGACTGAGCCCTACTCCGACCAGCTCTCTGGGCGGACGTGGTCTAAAGCGTTTGCTCTTCCAACCCCGCTCAGCGCTGCTGGGAAGGCGCGGCCCATCCCTCCGCCGCCCCTGGGGTCGGGGGGGCGCCAGGCGTCTAAGATGGCCCAAAATCGCCTCAAGAGGGCCCTAGACGTCCCAAGATTGGTTCCGATACCGATTGAAATCGACCCGGATGCCGGCGCGCACGCCCGCGGATGATGGGCGCGCGCGCCGCCAAATGCAACTGCGCACAACTGCCGCCAACCATTCGGCGCACAAACCCACTGTCACCGCGCGCGCTGCGCCACCCGGATGCGCTGAGTAGGGGAACCAGAAAACCAGTCGCAGGATAACGATATTGAGCGCCATGCCATCCCTAAATCGCGCCACGACAGAAAATCAATATCTGGATGGGCGCGTTTTCGCCCGCGCCCGCTCTGACGCAGACAAAAGGGGAGAAGAGCGAGGAGGTAGGGGGGCACGCGGCGAGAACGACGACGACAACGACGACGACGACTCCGACAGGGGCGAGAACGAGGACGATTCAAACATATGTATAGTTGCGCACCTTGCGTTTGAAGCATCTTCGCGGCCTCACGGATCCATCTCAGGGCCCTATTGGGGCCTTTGGGGGAGACCTTTTTCCGGGGTTCCCGAAATCATCTTGGGGCATTCGTGGGAATTGCTGGACCCTCTTGAAGCACTGTTGGGCCATCTTGAACGCCCGGCGCCTCCCGCAGCTTCCCTGCCCCTTCGCCCTTCCCCCATCCTGTCCCCTCTCCCCCGCTCGTTTGCTGGCGCCCGAACTCCGCACCGCCTGCCCACTGGCACCACGCCCTCCGGGAAACCCTCGCAGGAGCAACGAAGTGTATATTTCGCCGCGTTCGCACGGCCCCCCCGGGGCCAGCCGAGAAGATTCCGAAAGTTCCCCCCCTGTGACCACGACGGGAAGGGACGACGATGGATTTACGCAGATCACAAGAAAAAATGTGTACACTGATCACAAGAAAATGTGTGCATTCGGTCCAGGACCACGCGCTTTTACGCAGATCGAAGGAGGAACTGTGTACACAAATCACAAGAATATCTGTGTATTTCGAACAGTCAAGCGCGCCACCTCGACTAGCCGAGGGGATTCCGCAAGTTTCCCGCGCGTGACCGCGACGGGAGAGGACGACGATGGATTTGCACAGATCAAGGGATGAAATGTGCACGCGGACCAGAAAACAATCTGCGCATTCGGACCAAGGCCGCGCGCTTGTACACATATCAGAAGAATTGTGTACACTGATCACAAGAAGATTTGTGGATTTGGTAACGTCACTCGAATGCCATCTCGAAGGCCAGCCCCCATTCTTCCTCGTTCGGGGATGGATCCACACCTCCCCTAGCCTCGGGTTAAAGGCGGGAAGTCCGCAATAGGTGAAACGTCCAAGATGGCCCAATATTTTTCTAAACGGTCCCGAAGAACCCAACCTTGCCACCAATATGGCTCAAGCGATCCGCGCATGCATCCACGTCGCTTCCAATTTCCAACTCTCATATTATTATGTGTCCCCCTTGTTCTCCTCTTTCTCCTACCACCTCACCCTCTTCGCCCTCCTCATTCCCCTCTCCTCGCCCTCCGTTTCCTGCCCCTTTCCACCTCGGATCTATAAAGATAGCGGTCGACCCGCGCCGAGTGGGCCCCAAGAGGGCGCCCGAGAGGGTTACAACATGATCCCAAGATGGCCCGAATAGTCATCCAAAGCTTGCGTGATAAAAAGGGCCGAGAATGCTTCCCCCCTTCTTTCTTCTTCGCGTTCACTTCGTCCTCCCTGTCCCCCCCGACGCCACTTCCATCTCCATCGTTCCCCCCTCCCCCCAAGATGGTTCCAGGAGGCCTCTACGAGGCTCCTTAGACAACTTGCCTGGGCATCAATTATGAACGAAGTTGGTGCGCAGCTGGATGAGCTTCCAATGGCGGATGGGGTTCGGTTTCCCGCGTATCTCGGAGGGCGGAGGTTCTACTGCATGCATCTGCACTTCCCAGGTCACAGGAACGCGCCTGGCGATGTTTTTCGATGGGCTGGCGGGGGGTACGCGAAGCGTCAAACATCGGTTCCCAAATCGCCTCGTGGACAACATTAACGCAGCTCTGCGACGAGACAGCCAAACGCATGGTACACTTACTCGGGTGGTGGCAAAGGCAGCAATGTGCCGCCGACGTCTGGATCGAGGCCCAAACGCTTACGTTGGCCATCCCCTTCGACTTGACTGTTACACTGTTGTGAAAATCGCGCGGGCGGCAACAAGCTGACGAACGTGTGGCGCGCGATATTTGTCCAGCGTTCTTCTGGCAAGGGGGGGAAAAAAAGACCACAAACAAAACAAGCGCGGGGAGAAAGGAATAACCGTGATGGCTAAGCGGGGGGAGGATGGAGACGCTCTTCCGCCCACCCCGCGGATGCCCCTGGCAACTTTCAGAGAGAGAGAGAGAGAGAAAAAAAAAAAGAGAAAGGGGGTCGCGAAGAGGGGGGCCAAGCAAACGGAAAGTCATCGGCTCTTATATGCAGCATAGGTTCGTGTTTGGGGCTTGCGCGCCTTCTTTGACGTATTACAAATCCGACCCATACAAAATGCACGGATTCCTCGAAACTGTGTAAACCTTTTCCCTCCGCGGCCCGTCACATAGAACTGTCCCAGAACAGAGGAGCAGGTGATTCCAAATCACCATCAGCATCACCGTCACCACCATCATCAGCACCACCATGACCATGACCATGATCATGACCATGATCATTCCCATGATCATGACCATCATCACCACGATCACCACCACAATCACCATCACCATCATCAGCGTCATCAGCATCGTCATCATCATCGTCGTTGCCATTGTAATAGACATCGTCACCACCACCCCATCATCATCATCATCATCATCATCATCATCACCACCATCATCATCATCAGTATCAGTATCAATATCAGTATCAGTATCAGTATCAGAATCATCATCATCACCATCAGTATCACCATAACCATCATCCTGATCCTCATCATCATCATCCTGATCCTGATCCTCATCAGCATCAACATCAGCATCCTCATCTGCCATCCCCATCCTCATCCTCATCATCAATATCCCTATCATCGCCGTGATCATTATTATGATCTCCCTATTTGTCTCTGTCTCCCTCTCTCCACCTCTCTTCGGGCCACCGCTGTTGCTGATGCTGATGCTGATGCTGTCGCTGCGGACGTCGATGCTTCTCGAGCTGATACCTCTTCTCCAGCTCCTCCCGATTCCTCCTCCTCCAGCTCTTCCCCTTCCTGATGCTCCTACTATTGCTGCTTTTGCGTCCGCCTCCTCGCTTTCGTCCCTGTCCTCCTGCATCGGACCAAGGCTGGAGAAACGAGCGGCACTAGCAGAACTAACCATGACAAACAACCTACGTAATTGTTGCGATCCCTCTTGGAAATCGCTCTGGTTTCCCTGTGGGGCACTCCCGCAATACATCGAGGGATAATAACGGTAATGGGGACGCCCCTGATGCCGTGTCGGGAATTCATTGGCCCAGCGACGCAGCGCTCACAAATCTAGCCAGCGATTCACTGCCAACAAAGAAGACCATTCCTGAATGATGGCAACCGCCACAACATGCAACAAAATTATGAGACCGTCTTTCCCTATGACCGCGGCCCGTGCTGCGCCCACCGCAGGGCCCCGGCCATACCGACCCCAGCCGAGAGGGTCCTGCCGAACTTCGGCTCAAAGAAGGCGTTGATGGCGAGGCGCCTGCTGTCGCGGGAGACCACCTCGTGTTGTGTTTTGCAGGGAGGCGCCGCTTGCTGCGGGCTGCCTCGCGCAGGCTGGCAGATCACCGTTCGGGCTTGGCCGGGGAAGGTAGGGACGGGGGCAAGGCTCATGCTGCTGCTGCACCCCCCACGCACCCCCAATCGTTGTCAATATATTGTATCCTCCTCCTCGCCCTCCTTTCCTCCTCCCCCCCTCTTTGTCCTCCCCTCCCCTCCTCCGCCTCCTACTCCTGCGGGAAAGCCATCCTGAAGCCCGTCTTGGAGCATCCTGGCCAAGAAAAAGGATTACCCACACGAAAGGCCCAACCATATGAAGCTGCGGGTACCGCGAGCCCAATGAAAATGATGGTGGGGCCGAGAAAAATGATGGGCGTGCCGACATGGGGCGGGTGCGCCATGCGGACCTTGCCTCTCGAAACTTGGATGAAGCTCCCTATAGGGCCACGGCAAGTGTTCAGGGTGAGCCCAATCGGATGCAAGAGCGGTGTGCGGACCCTGCCGCTGGGGCCTTCGCAACAGTTCCCTATCCTGGACCCATTCCGATGTTCAGCGCGCGCGGCACATGAAACATAGAATGAGATTGTGGGGTGCGGCCAGGATTCGAAACACGAAAAGTTCCGGCCTCAGGAAAGGGGCAAGCTATGGGAGCTCACGCAAAACACACATGCTTCGATCACTCAAAAACTATCAGGAACACAGAAATAACTATAAACCCACAGCGTTCCGTGCAATCCCGTGCAATCAGCTACCCCTTAGTAACAATATATTGTTAGATATGATGCAATTTCAACCAGAACGTGCAGCTCGCTTCTCGTGTATATATATACATTTTTATATATATATATATATATATGTATATATACTAGAACCATCGCGCGCTTCGCGAACGCTCAGGTTCTAGCCCGGGCCGGGGCCGCGCTAGAAGATCTTGGACAGCGCTATCAAGCACAGGCGCGCGACATAGTCGTGTCTCCTGAAGACAAGGGTCGCTGCCGCTCCACCCATTGACAGAAACAAAGAAAACCTGTGCCAATCAGGCGGCGTCCCAGGAACGGTCTCAGGTTTTTGGACCGGAGGCCGCATGTAGACGTACATGAAGGTTTCTGGGGAAGCTTCTCAGAAGCCCGTTGGGGCCCTCTTGGGGGTCTCCTGGGGGCTTCCTGGGAACCTCGGGGGGCCTCTTGGAAGCCTCTCGGGGGGGCCTCTGGAAGCCCTTGGAGGCCTGCCGCGGGCCTTTTGGGGGCCTCTTGGAGCCTCTTGGGCTCTTGGGGATCTGTTAGGGTTTTTTGGGGGGCCTCCTGGGGCGGGGGCGTTGGAAAATTCAGTTGGGTGTCCCGTCTTAGGCCCCTTTTGGGGCCCTTCAGGGACGCGTTTGGGCCGTCCTGGGCGCCTCTTGGACTGTCCGGGGCCCCTCTGGGGCCGACTTGGGGCTCACTTGAGGGTTTCGTGGGCCGTTTTGGGGCGGCATAGGGAGAATCGGAGGTCGTAGACGCCGGTACGAAAGCCAAAAATCGATTATAATAAACATGTGCGCTTTACGCTGGGAACGGGGGTATTGTTGCTTCCCGGGGCGGTGGGGGGGGATCTCGTCGAGGGGTCTTCGAACGTGTTGGAGGCGTCTGGGGCGGTTCGAGACGCCTCTTGAGCCGCCGGAGACCGCTGGAGGTTGTCTTCAGGGTGGCCCTGGGCGGCCTGGGGCCGCCTGGGCGGCCGTCTGGGCGCTCCGGGGGACGACCTGGGGCCCGCCGGGGAGCGGGTTGGGCCCGACGCCCCCCTATTTGTGGTCGAGGCTGCGGCCCCGGGGCCCCCGGGCCCGGTGCGGCGTCATGTGTGTATATATATAATTGTGTGTGTGTGATTGTGTGTGTGATTGTGTGTGTGTGTGCGTGTGTGTGTGTGTGATTGTGTGTGTGATTGTGTGTGTGTGTGATTGTGTGTGTGTGTGCGTGTGTGTGTGTGTGTGTGCGCGTGTGTGTGTGTGTGTGTGTTTTTGTGTGTGTGTGTGTGTGTGTGTGTGTGTGTGTGTGTGTGTAAAAGGAGAACATGAATAAAAACAAATAAAACCAAACAGCGCACATGGTACTGCTGCTACCACAAATCAAGAGGTCCAGCGAGCTATCACAAGGCCAACCGCGTGGTTGACCCGCGCGCATGCGCATCCATAGCCGTCGCATGCGGAGCATAGAGCCCTCTGGCGGGAGGCTCGCACATCACTCACTACCTGTTCCTCTGACCAACGGACGGGCGGCAGGCAAGGGAACTCAAACGGCGCAACGCGGCAGGCGCACAGAAGCATTAAACACCGATGATGGAGCCGCCTTTGCCAGCAATGCAAAATTGCAGGGCTCCAGGATGGTGAAACGAGGGCGGCAAACAGATAAATCGACCGTCTGTCTGCAGATTGCGGGCCGAGCCAAACTCAACGTCACCAGCGCAGCAGGCTAAGGACAGGGGAAAATGCAGGACACGCGCCAGCGCTGGAAAACAAAAAAAAAACACAAAACCAAATTGTGCAACAGCTGAAATCTCATCAGGGCGAAAGCAACCAGACTTGGCCGACGCACCAGACTGCGATCACTGTCGGCTCTCCCGGGCCACGGAGGAACACTGCACCAACTTCCCGTTCTGCTTGATCCGGAGGTCACGGAATTTGTTAGTGCAGTCGGCCGCAACTGCCGGGTCCCACGCAAGCCATCTGGAGAGCGCGATGGCCAGTTTGTCGTACAACCGTGGACAGACCTTGCTGAAGGTCCTCAACTCCGCTGCGTCGAACTAGCAGATACGTCGGTCCGAAAACTGCCGTTTCGCGTACACGACGGCCTGTGGTGCCGGGATCATCCTGAACTTCCTCGAGCCAAATGACCATGTCACAACAGAACAGGGAGATGATCGAGGCCCCGCCGCGCTCCAACACTTTGGCTCCCACGCATCTCCCGAAGCTGTTGCTACTTTTGTGTCGCCAAGATGAGTAGCCCCCTTGCGTCGGTCTGCCACAACGTCCTGGCCGACCTTGACATCGGACCACGACCGCGCTCCCCCTCTTGCGAAAATGGCACGGCAAGCACGGCGACAACCTCTGATGCTGTGCACCGGCTCGCTCTCATCATCGGCGTCAATCGATGTCATGGAACTCCACGATGATCGTGCCGTCACCGAACGCTCGGCCCTCCAGCGTGGATTGAGCTGGCTAGCGATGGTGAGAAGAAGGGGAACGAGGCACATCATGTACTGCTATCGACTGGGAGGCATGCTGTGCGGGGGCTTGCGACCCCGCTGACACGATGAACATCGCCATAAACGCTCGAGCCAAGGCCTTCTGAGCGCGCTTCCCGTCATCCGCTAATCCTCGCTCCCGTGCGATCCGCCACCCTCTATCAATGAGAGATTTTTAGATTTGATAAAGATTCAACCACAAGGTTCAACTCGCTTCTCGTACCTCGACATCGCTTCCAGTCGCCGCTAAGCGAAAAATCTTTCTCAACCCGGAGCCCGTTGTCCCTTACGTCTCTGCCCTTTATTAGTAAGTAGTAAGCATAGCCTCAGAAAATCCAATCACCTTCTCGTTCCGATAAGGCGTTTCCCGTCATCCGCCAAGCGAAAGCTACTCATTTGCACCCGGGAGCCCGTTGTCCTTCGCGTCTCTGTTCCTTACTCTACTAATCATGTAGAACGCTTCCTCTAACAGACTCCCATCACCTTCTCGTTCCGAAAGGGCGCTTCCCGTCATCCGCCGACCCCTTGGGATTCATCGGCGTGTAAAATGTTCCCCCCTCCCCAAACTCCTCCCCCAGGAGCCCGGTCCGGTCGAGTTGGAGGGGGGGTCCCCCGGGATCCAGGTGAACGCTCCCGCGGGGGGCAGAGGGCCCCAAAACAGGCCGAGAGGGCCCCAGGAGGCCCTTGGGGAGGTCCACGAGGGCCACGAGTCGCTGAAAGATCTGTCCAAAACGCCCACGCTGGCCTCCAGACGGCCCAAGAGGCCCCCAAGGCGCCCCAAGAAGCCCCAAAGAGGGGTCCCAAGAAGGCTCCAGAAGCAAGAATCACCCCATTTCCTATGAAAAACGTGAGTCTTTAGCACATTCGTCTCTTGGGCGTTCACAACGTCCCAGACGGCCCAAGATGCCTTCAAGATCGCCCCGAGACGGGCCGAGAGGCCCCCGAGAGGGCTTCAAGACGACCCAAGAGGACTCCAAGACGGCCCAAGAAGCTCCCAAGACGGCCCAGGAGGGCCCCAGGACAGCCCCAAGAGCGGGCCCAAGAGGGGAACCCGAACGGACATTTCGAGTCTTCCACCCGAAGACGCCTCCGGGTTGCCCTAAAAAGCAGCCAAGAGGCCCCCAGGGAGCCCCCAGATGGCCGCAAAAAGCTCCCAAGTGGCCCCAGGAGGCCCCCAAGAGGTTTAACAACCGCCTCCAAGACGCCCCCGAGACGCCTCCCACGAAACCTCATCAGTCATCCGAGTGGCCTCCGACCCGCAACCCACGCACGGTGGTGGGATGTGCCAAAGGCCATTCGATCCGCCGCCACCTGTCGATTCATCGCAGGGGTGCCTGGCGTGCTGAATCCTATCGGTTTTGGTTTTGGTTCTTATTCCAAAAGAACTCCCCCTTGGGCTCCGGCGCGTCCTGCCGGCCACCCCGAAAGGAGCATAAGTTCAAAATGTTTCGCTCAAGATGGCCCAAGATGGCCTCCAAGATGGCCACGTTGGCCCAAGATGGCCTCCAAGATGGCCTCCAAGTCCGCCCAAAATGGTCCAAGACGGCCTCCCAGATGGCCCAAGGGAGTCCAAGACGGCCCAAGACTGCCCAATAGGCCCCCCAGAGGCCTGCAAGACGGCCCAAGAGGCCTCCAAGAGGTCCTCCAGGAAGGCCCGAAGAGGCCAAAATCATTGGTTTTCCATTGGTTTTTGAAGGATTTGGGCATTCACTTCTCTTCGGCTTTCCGACGACCCAAGACGACCCAAGAGGCCCCCAAGATCGCCCCCACGGCGCCCAAGAGGCCTC